TGTTTGTGTTGTAAAATATCTACTTCATCGTTACATGCTTTATTCTTCAGCACCTCTGCCACCACCGAGTTTAGCAGCTAATGGGATGGTAAGTCACAGACTTTTATCAACTTTTATCATCGTACTGACTAGTTGTTATTTATTTGTAATCTTCTTATTACAATACTTGTTGTTAACTCAATCATGGGATGTGTCAGAAAATAGTTCAGCATTATCTAAGAAATGGAAGACCGATCATGAGATAGATAGGAGGGAATATTGATCTTTATCCTTAACTAATTGATTTTATGCCCAAGAGCTGTTTTCAGTCAACGAAAGTGAAGCTAGTGAAGCTCTGTTGTCCGGGTTGAGTCACTTTTTTATGGGTAATGGGTTTTTGAATGCAGAGGAGTGATCGTTGAAGCGTCAGAGGCCGTAGCAGAAGAGAACGGTGTAGCAAGTGACGCCGCTCCTGTATGATTTGTGTTCGTTTATACTGGACGTATCACAGCTTTGTGCCAGCCTAGTTGCGTCATTTAGATGAAAGAATGATGAAAAATGATGATGAACATGTACTGAACAAAAACAGGAAAGATATGGCTTTAATGTGGATTTATTTTATAGCGGTGCTTACATTAAATTTGTTTTTGATTTCCCCAGCATTTAATGATTTCATCCAATCAGACTAAAGCTACTTCAGTTTGATACTAATTCTTCTCAATCACAAATCAATTGCATTGATTATTAGTTTTAAAAGGCCATTCCATCTGCGGATAAATCAACTTGACAATTATTCGATTTTATTAAATTGCATTACAGCTCAGTTATTTGAATTTTAGGCTTTTTATGGTTTTCTTGAGATATCTCAACTTTCAGCTAAAATCCTTGGACTCTTCACACAGTAAAACGGGAAATGCGGACGATACAAAGAACACGACGAAAGAGTGAGTAAATGACATTGCTCAAATCTTGTACTATGGTAGTGGTCTTTTTTGTTCTAATCGAGGTGTCTGTTTCATAACTTTCCAGCCCTGTTTTTATCACCTTGAATCCGTAGTTCGGTCGCTTAGCTGATCGGCTACCTAGAAAAGCCGCGTGGTATTATAATTTTGATAATTATAAATATAATTTGTAGATGGAAAACATATTTGTAATTCTTAACATTCAGCCTTCATGGCGTAGCCTAGTTAACATGGGAGTTACTTAGTTGGGAGTACTAGGGCGAAAAATTCTCAAAGGTCGAGGATTGGGTAAGGGCGGCGGGAGGGGGTGCGATGAAGGTTAAGTATTATTTCACCTCGTCGATGTCAAGGAGTAATATTTTTCTGCCAAAAAATTTTATCGACTACTCCATATCCATAATTCTGGTTGATTATGGCCCTGAATCAAATTTTTTCCGCCTATGAGATTGAGACAGTATTCGTTCATTAAATCTTTTGCCATTTCGGGTTACCTCTGAGAAAGAGATAGAATTCGATGGGTAAATGGGTCGATGAGTCTTTGTTTCGGGAAGACAGGAAAGTCGGCGAATCAGAAACTTGTAAAGTGAATAAAT